AATAAGCCCCCCCACTTCTGGTAAATACTGTCACACAACTAAAGTATCTACACAGAAACATACCTTTGTCTGGTAATAAGCCCACTCACATCTGATAAATACTGTCACACAACTACAGTATCTACACAGAAACATACCTTTGTCTGGTAATAAGCCCACCCACTTCTGGTAAATACTGTCACACAACTAAAGTATCTACACAGAAACATACCTTTGTCTGGTAATAAGCCCACTCACATCTGATAAATACTGTCACACAACTAAAGTATCTACACAGAAACATACCTTTGTCTGGTAATAAGCCCACTCACATCTGTAACATTTTCTATAGAAATGCTTACCAATGCTATAGCATTACCCTATATTAACTGCTATGCTCTACTTGAAGTGAGGTTATGTGTGGGCCCCGAGGGCAATTATTGTAATGCTCTTTACATGATGTTGTAGAAAGGTAACATTTTTTTTCATCAAAGTTAACAATGTTACCTTGCCTTTCTGATCAGTGAAGTCATTTACTAATTAGAGTGAACAGAGCAGCCTACATGATATATAAAGGCTGTTGGTGATTAGCTTGAATATTGTACTAGGTACCTTGGTTATAACCTGCCACAGTATTACTGATTCACTCACGTCTAGAAAAAAATAATCCAATTAGAAAAAGAGCATCTAAAAATCAATATAAGAAATAAATTCCTTTCGCTGTTATTATCATGTGTACAGACCCCACTATGCTGATAGTAATGAACACCTAAACTGATTTTGACCAAATGTGGTCAGAAGCATCTGTAGGAGAAGAGGAACCAAGTTAGTAATTTACAGTGATTCTCTTCCCCACAAGGCCAAATAGGGGATACAGGGCAAATGGTTTCTAATCCTTCTTCTCAAGGAAGGCTTGGAATCTGTCTTTGGGATGAAGGGGAATCAATTTTGTATGAACATTGGCACTTGGCCCCTGGGTAGAGGGATGAGGCCCAAGAGGGGAAATATAGCAAATCCTTCAGAATCCTTCTCCTTTTCCAGGAATGCTTTGATCATGTCCCTTTTTGTTCTGGAGCATGGTTTGGTGAAGAGAAATTAATTTTGTATGTGGGTTTTGGGAGGGACAGGACCAAATTAATGAAATTGAGTGAGTTCTTTGAAATCCTTCCTCTTCTACAGGATTGTCAAGATTGTGTGCCATTTAGGTCTGAAGCATCCTTAGGTGAAGAAAAATATATTTTAATAAATGATGGGTTTTCATCCCTCCGAAGCAGGAGGGGCAAGGCCCAATACAGGAACAAATAGTTCCTAATCCTACATCCTTTCTAGGAATGCCAGGATTCTGCCACAATTTAGTCTGAAACATCCTCTGGTGAACTGGAATCAATTTTGTAGAAAAGGTTTTTGTCATTTCCATGGGGTGGGAGTGAATAGACCCAATTAGGGATATATAGCAAACTCTGTGGAATCTTAATGCTGTAGAAATGACAGTATTTGTCCAAATCTGGTAGAGTCATATCTAAAAGGGAAAAAAACTTACAAATCTTTAGAATCCTTTTCCTGTAGTTTTTATAAAACAAACCCAGGTGAGTGATACTGCCATTGTAACCTATTGTATATTGCATTCTTTTATACTATATTTCTTGATTGTCCATCAGTCCACCATAACATATGGAAGCCGGAAGTCTAACTGGTGGATAACACTTCTAGATTATACATCATATTGTTGCCAATTACCCAAAACTGCAACATAACCTTGTCCCAGGGTTATATTCCTAAGGTCAAACCATGTTTAGAAGACAGACTTGTAGACTGGATGTTAGGGGTATGATTCTGTTTTCCTGTACTAGATCTTGATCATACTTCACTTCATTATTGCCTATTAGCCAAGGGTATGATGTAACATTGACCCTACTTAAGTTCTTTAATGTCAAGGTCATTGCAGAATTTTGTTGTCCAGTTCCAGTTAAAACATATCATGTATCATTTAATGGTGGCCAGCTTTGTACTGTTGAGATAATGTTGAATGATATCAGCTCAAGGTGATGTGAGTTCTTCCTTTAAAAACATATTATAGATTGTGTACTCTTCCATTGTGTAATTGATTTTAAACTCTAATAAAGCCACTTCAGAAGTGATGTAATGAAATCCTCATCTTTTCTGACTTCAAATATACATAGAAATAGGATCTTACATGGGTTTCCTTTAGAGATATGAATCTGGGAAACAAGTCTTAAGAATTTTTCCATTAAGCTAAAGTCTTACTTAAATTGAAAATGTTTAAGACGACAAATCTTTCTAACTTCACAATAAGCTTTGAGAATAAAGTGTTGTATATCACAGTGAAATATATCAAGATATTTTGGCTCAACATTATAAAAAATAGACAAGTCTTTGTATAAGATAAGAAGTAGACACTGTCTTTATATTAGATATTTAGTAGATTCTGTTTATATATAAGATATTTCAGTAGACACTCTGTTATAAGATATTCAGTAGACACTGTCTTTATATAAGATATCTAGTAGACTCTGTCTATATATAAGATATTTAGTAGATTCTGTCAATTGTAAGATATTTCAGTAGACACTGTCTATATATAAGATATTCAGTAGACACTATATATAAGATATTCAGCAGACACAGTCTATATATAAGATATTCGGGAGACGCTGTCTATATATAAGATATTTCAGTAGACACTGTCTATATATAAGATATTCAGTAGACACTATATATAAGATATTTCAGCAGACACTGTCTATATATAAGATATTTCAGCAGACACAGTCTATATATAAGATATTTCAGTAGACACTGTCTATATATAAGATATTCAGTAGACACTGTCTATATATAAGATATTTCAGCAGACACTGTCTATATATAAGATATTTCAGCAGACACAGTCTATATATAAGATATTTCAGTAGACACTGTCTATATATAAGATATTTAAGCAGACACAGTCTATATATAAGATATTTCAGCAGACACTGTCTATATATAAGATATTCAGCAGACACAGTCTATATATAAGATATTTCAGCAGACACAGTCTATATATAAGATATTTCAGCAGACACTGTCTATATATAAGATATTTCAGCAGACACAGTCTATATATAAGATATTCAGTAGACACTGTCTATATATAAGATATTTCAGCAGACACTGTCTATATATAAGATATTTCAGCAGACACAGTCTATATATAAGATATTTCAGCAGACACAGTCTATATATAAGATATTTCAGCAGACACTGTCTATATATAAGATATTTCAGCAGACACAGTCTATATATAAGATATTAAGGAGACACAGTCTATATATAAGATATTTCAGCAGACACAGTCTATATATAAGATATTTCAGTAGACACTGTCTATATATATATACAGTCTATATATAAGATATTTCAGCAGACACAGTCTATATATAAGATATTTCAGCAGACACAGTCTATATATAAGATATTTCAGCAGACACAGTCTATATATAAGATATTCGGGAGACGCTGTCTATATATAAGATATTTCAGCAGACACAGTCTATATATAAGATATTCAGTAGACACTGTCTATATATAAGATATTTCAGCAGACACAGTCTATATATAAGATATTCAGGAGACACAGTCTATATATAAGATATTTCAGCAGACACAGTCTATATATAAGATATTCAGGAGACACAGTCTATATATAAGATATTTCAGCAGACAGTCTATATATATGATATTCAGGAGACACAGTCTATATATAAGATATTTCAGCAGACACAGTCTATATATAAGATATTTCAGCAGACACAGTCTATATATAAGATATTTCAGTAGACACTGTCTATATATAAGATATTTCAGCAGACACAGTCTATATATAAGATATTTCAGCAGACACAGTCTATATATAAGATATTTCAGCAGACACAGTCTATATATATATACAGTAGACACTGTCTATATATAAGATATTTCAGCAGACACAGTCTATATATATATACACAGTCTATATATAAGATATTTCAGCAGACACAGTCTATATATAAGATATTATATATATAAGATATTTCAGCAGACAGTCTATATATATGATATTCAGGAGACACAGTCTATATATAAGATATTTCAGCAGACACAGTCTATATATAAGATATTTCAGCAGACACAGTCTATATATAAGATATTCAGTAGACACTGTCTATATATAAGATATTTCAGTAGACACTGTCTATATATAAGATATTTCAGTAGACACTGTCTATATATAAGATATTCAGTAGACACTGTCTATATATAAGATATTCAGGAGACGCTGTCTATATATAAGATATTTCAGCAGACACAGTCTATATATAAGATATTTCAGCAGACACAGTCTATATATAAGATATTTCAGTAGACACTGTCTATATATAAGATATTTCAGTAGACACTGTCTATATATAAGATATTCAGTAGACACTGTCTATATATAAGATATTCAGGAGACGCTGTCTATATATAAGATATTTCAGCAGACACAGTCTATATATAAGATATTTCAGCAGACACAGTCTATATATAAGATATTTCAGTAGACACTGTCTATATATAAGATATTTCAGCAGACACAGTCTATATATAAGATATTTCAGCAGACACAGTCTATATATAAGATATTTCAGTAGACACTGTCTATATATAAGATATTTCAGCAGACACAGTCTATATATAAGATATTTCAGCAGACACAGTCTATATATAAGATATTTCAGCAGACACAGTCTATATATAAGATATTTCAGCAGACACAGTCTATATAAGATATTTCAGCAGACACTGTCTATATATAAGATATTTCAGTAGACACTGTCTATATATAAGATATTTCAGCAGACACAGTCTATATATAAGATATTTCAGCAGACACAGTCTATATATAAGATATTCAGGAGACACAGTCTATATATAAGATATTTCAGCAGACACTGTCTATATATAAGATCTTTTGGAATTTCCATGTTGATCTGTTACAGGTTTTAGGCCATAAAGAGGGTTTGAATGTGATGGAACGAGCTGACCCCCTGTTTCTCCTGATTGGCCTGCCTACCATTCCTGTGATGCTGATCCTTGGGAAGATGGTTCATTGGGAGGATTATATACTGAGGCTGTGGAGAAAGTACTCTGCCAAGCTGCCATTCTTCAATTACTTATTCTCTGATGGTAAGTTAGCCAAGTAGTAGTTTTTTCAGGCTCCCCTTAAAATCCCCAGGGAATATCCATTTGCTGTTGGGTGCATCCATCTGGTTTGTATCTTTGTCCATTTCTCAGGAAGCTAAACATTTTGTTGCAAAGCTTTATTGATGAGTTTGTCTTTCCTCACTTTTTTGTGTCTAGTCGGTGCAGACATTAGAGGGTTGGCTAAAGCAACCTAAGGTGGGGAGTCTAGGTATCAGATTCAATGCTCCCTACTGGCTTGTACTTCTCAGGAAACTGAAAAATTGTCTGTTCTTGACTGTGTTGTGTACGGGGCTAAGAAACTTTAACCCATTGAGCTGGATGGCATATATATGGCAGGCCTCACAGATGTTGTTAAGCAAGGTTGCCACACGGTACTATAGGGAAAATGTACCTCAAAATGATTCTGGCTGTACACAGGGTGATAAATCTAGCAAGTGAACAAACAAGTCATTTAGGTTACCATCTAGCCACATAAGGTATACTATTGTTGAATATGGTGGAAAACTGTATAGGTTTTGTTGAATCTCGAAGTCCTTTGGAGTAATCAGAAATGTGTCACAGAAGATTTATCTTAGCATATCAATACCATAGATACCACCAACAGCATCAAATTCATCTCTGAAAAAGAAATTAATGGCACTATGCCATTACTTGACACCCTCCTTGTAAAAAATAGATGCACATGAACCAATACTTCAACTTTTGATCGCACCACCCCTTACACTAGAAGTTGGATGTTGCATGAAACTCACTCAGTAGATGTGAAACAATTGTCACAGAGGAACAAACCAGAAAGCAAGAACAAAATCACATCCGTAGGGCCATGAAAACATGTGGATACCCAGATAAGGTAATTCGGAAAATTAACAATGAATTTGATGAAAACAAAAAGATTAAGAGAATGAAAAGAACAAAACGAATGGACAAGTTGTCATTCCTTACATTAAAGGTCTGTTTGAAACCAGAGGATTTACCATAGTCATGGCGTTGCAACAGCCACGAAACCTTGCAAGACACTCTGAAATATCCATCCTAAGGATAAAAGGCCCAAGAGGAACGTCCCTCAATGTGTATACAAACTCCTTACCATCTCATACACTACGTATGTCAGGGCTAGTATTCTTAACACTGGTTGAAACATCATGCTCTAATCTTCTACTGGTTGTGTTATAAGAACTACTAATTTATTAATATTACCAGTGTGAAGAAAGTGTTCCAAAATATACTGTATTAACTGTAATTAGGACAACTTTCCTCATGATGAATTTTTAGGATTTAACCCTTTCTATGGTACTTGTAGTAAAATTCTAAATTTTCAGTTTTAGATTTAGTAATTTTGGGAAGTGTTTTTGTTAATTTCTGCTACCATGACTATGAAGCTTTATGGACCATTATCTTCTGGTGGAATGATAAATGCTTTTTCATAGAATAATTCACTGCCTTTGATGGAAAAATTCAACTTAGATTAATATGAAGGAGATCTTGTCTTAGTTACTGTAAGCATTTAATCTAAATGTGTCCACTCAACATGATACCATTCTTTTATCAAATATGGCATAAAATCCACTGTCATTTTTTTGCTCATGTTTACACATAAACAGGTTTTTCACATGAAATGAATCTTTATTGCAAAACAAAGGCAATCTTGCAGAGTACAATATTTTGGGTCATTCATACTGGAAAAAATGACAATGCTTTTTAGTAACGTTTAGTAATATATTAAGGCTAGACCACAGTGTGATGCTATGTACTGAAAGCATTTTGTTTCTGTATCACAATAGAGTCTGTGATTGCTCTAAAATCATCCTTATGTTGTACATAATTTCATATGACACAGAAAGCTGTCAGGGTCAATTTGGTCTTAATAAATGACTGTTATATTTGAAATGACTTGAGAGGAAGTTGGATAAGGTCTTATATTTGGGGTCATAGGGGACGTAACCTCTATTCCCTGGCGTGATAGTGGCTGAACTCTCCAAGCAATATGGCCCCATGTAGATATGTTATCGTACCATTATTGCCAAATGTCACGTAAAATGGATATGCAGGATCAAGACAGAAGTATAAAAACAAATGTACAGAAAGTGATGTTGTTGTGTCTGATGTTATTGGAAGTTAAGAGAACACACATCGACAACAGTACAATGGTGCTTCGATCATTCTCTGGCCATCTCATCCTATTCCACTTAATGTTTTTACGAGTGTGTTTTATGTTCCAGTGACAATGATGTTCAGCATGAATTAATGAACAGTCATTTTGTTACACATCTGTCTCATCAAAGCAGTAACATTGATGAATAAGCTTTCATTTCATCACTATTGTAACAAAATTTTGATGAAGTAATAGTATGCATATGGTATAGATATTCCTTTTTATAATGGTACTGTTCCATATAATACATAAGTAAGTCTTCAGAATCAAGTGAATATAATTAGAACAACACATATAAATTTGAGGTCAATGTTTAAATTCATTTTTCGTACAAGAGCGTTCTACCTGTGCTTTTGTCACAATTTTGATAGGAGATGTTGATGTAACTTTTCCAACAGTCATGGCATTGTCAGGTTTTCACTTTAAAGTTTAGTTTAGAATTAAGATTTATGGCTCATGAAATTTAAGTCCAACTTTAACCAAACTTGGTATATGGGTAGATCACATAGCAAATACCTCAACACAGTCCGTGTGGAGGTGGGGGTGGGTGGGGGTGGTGTTTAGTGGTAGAGGTGAGGTAGACTTACTTGAGAATACACTATATACAGACATGGTAAGGTGTTTAGTGTTAGAGGTGAGGTAGTCTTACTTGAGAACACACTATATACAGACATGGTAAGGTGTTTAGTGTTAGAGGTGTGGTAGTTTTACTTGAAACATAATGTATACAGACATGGTTAGATGTTTTACTTGAGAATATACTATGTACAGATATAGTAAGAGTTACTTGAGAACACACAGTATAAAGACAAGGTAAGGTGTTTTATGAGTTGTAGGAGTGGTAGCCGTATTTTGAGTATAGTCAGTAAGCAAACCCCATGACACCACTCCTTAAACACACTACAGTTATGTCTTTTCTATTTTTGTAATCAAGGCTTAACTTACAATTTTAGACGGACAAGTATTCTTTATTTTTTTATTGTTTAGTACAATGTACCATAAAAAGGATATTTTGGTGCCAGCGAATTTTGATTTTTTTTTTATTGTGATGTGTCTAAATCTGGCATTTCAGGCAATCCTGTGTATTGCTGTATTCACCAAACCTTGTGATTAATTAGGGCCCCACATTGAGATGCAGTGCCCAATAGTTGTCAGCTGTCTGTCCGTCCGTCCGTCCGTCTAGGCGTCCGTCCGTCCGCCCGCCTGTCTGTCCTTTTTTTGGTTTCTGTACAGCCTCACAAATTCTGTTGGGTCATTGGCACTCATACTTTATACTAAGCCTCCTTTAAAGAAGTACTTACTTGGGTTATGTAGCTTTTCATCCCCCAAGGTTAAAGGTCAAGGTCACTGCTACTAAAAATAGGAAATAAATTTCCATGTGAAAACTAGAATTTGCTTTGATCAATCTAACCCAAACTTCATACAGTACATCCTTACTTAAAGTGTTTGCTCAGGAATGCTTTACAGTTTTGAAGGTCAAAGGTCAACATCACTGTTACTATAAATATAAAAATTAGTTTTCCTAGGGTAACTCAAGTTTGCTTTGGCCAATCAAACTCAAACCTCATACAATTTTTCTTACAAAAATGGCTTGCTTTGGATTGCTTTTCAGGTCCCAGGGTCATTGGTCCAGATTACTGTTGCTCTAAGCAGAAAATTGATTTTAGTGATCTAACATAAATTCCCTTGGGCCAATCAAACTCAAATTTCATACAATGCTTTCTAGCTGAAATTGCTTGCTGGGGATCATTTTTCAGACCCAGAAGCCAAAGGTTGAGGTTATTGTTGCTATAATGGTAAATCCATTTTGTGGAATAATTGTAGCCAGTCTAACCCAAACTCGAAATGCTTCTTAACCAAAAGTACTTGTTTCATGTAGATTGCCATTCAGGTCCAAAGGTCAAAGGTACATTTAAGTACATATAAGTTAAAATTAGTTCCTGTGTAATAAATTAAGTTTGCTTTGCCCAATGTAAAACTTTATACAATGCTTCCTTACCAAAATTGCTTGCTTTGGATATTGTCTTTTATATCCCAAGTCCTAAGGTCAAAGTCACTGTTATTATAAACAATAAGAAATATTGTTGAATGTATTTGTTAGTTTGTTGTCTTTTTTCGTAACAGTATTTCTTGACTTTGTGGCTGAGTGTACTTAGGTCTTGCCAGTAATCTGTCAGTCTGGGATGTATGTGTATAAGGGTGGAATATGCAGGTGGGGTGATTTCTAGCTACATAGTAGGGGCCCTTGCTGACCTATCAGTGTTCTAGTTGTATCCTAATCTATCGTATTAAGCTAGACCTGTTTCTCAGCTGGGGATAAAATGCATATTATTTTCAATAAGTATTTTGTGTCAAGGAAACAATTGACTTTGATGATATTCCCAACACACACCAATGCTGTAATTTGATTGATATTTTCATATCATTAAATAAAAAAAGTCTTTAGAATCGATTTGCTTTAGAAGTCATTAGGTAAAGCCTCTTTATTTAAAAACATTTTCTGTAGATATGATGGTTTATGTTAACAAACAGGAAAGTGGGGGATATGATACAACTGTTGATATTGGCCTATTAAACAGGAAACATTTCAGGACATTATTTTCACAGGATAATAAGTTATCAATATTTATCATATGCACCTGTGATGTTTCTCGATTATTTTGCTTACAAAGCAAAGATCATTCATTTTCTGTATGGCACTCGGGAGACCTCAATTTTATTGGTTTCTCTACCAATGTGAGTGGAGAAATTAGTTTGCTGGGGTTGATCCAGGGTCCAAAGGGGAGCTGTTAACATGTTTTATGTAATTGTTATTGACCAGACAGAGAGG